TTCTAGAGAGACTGGAAAACTGGGTCTGGCTTTCTGGGATGGTACTCAAATGGTTCAGGTCATACTTAGAAGGGAGAGGTTAGTATTGGAGTATTGGAGAGCATAAATCTTAAGTGGACGTCCCACAAGGCTCAATTCTTGCACCGCTCTTGTTTAGCCTTCCCACTAAGCCTGTATATGCTCCCACTAAGTCAAATAATGAGAAGGAACCAAATTACCGATCACAGCTATGCTGATGATACCCAGATTTACCTAGCCTTATCACCAAATGACTACAGCCCCATTGACTCCCTCTGCCAATGCATTGATGAAATTAACAGTTTTGTGCCAAAATTTCCTTCGGTTAAACAAGGAGAAAACTGAAGTCATTGCATTTGGAAACAAAGATGAAGTTCTCAAGGTGAATGCATACCTTGACTCTAGGGGTCAAACAACTAAAAATCAAGTCAAGAATCTTGGTGTGATTCTGGAGACAGACCTTAGTTTCAGTAGTCATGTCAAAGCAGTAACTAAATCAGCATACTATCATCTCAAAAACATTGCAAGAATTAGAAGTTTTGTTTCCAGTCAAGACTTGGAGAAACTTGTTCATGCCTTTATCACCAGCAGGGTGGACTATTGTAATGGTCTCCTCACCGGCCTTCCCAAGAAGACCATTAGACAGCTGCAGCTCATCCAGCACGCTGCTGCCAGTATTCTGACTAGAACCAGAAAATCTGAGCATATCACACCAGTCCTCGGGTCCTTACACTGGCTTCCAGTTACATTTAGGATTGATTTTAAAGTACTTTTACTCGTTTATAGATCACTCCATGGCCTAGGGCCTAAATACATTGCAGATATGCTCACTGAATATAACCTAACAGACCACTCAGATCATTAGGATCGAGTCAGTTAGAAATACCAAGGGTTCACACAAACCAAGGGGAATCTGCTTTTAGCTATTTTGCCGCCCTCAGTTGGAATCAGCTTCTAGAAGAGATCAGATGTGCTAAAACATTAGTCACATTTAAATCTAGACTCAAAACTCATCTGTTTAGCTGTGCATTTATTGAATGAGCACTGTGCGATGTCCGAACTGAGTGCACTGTATTTTATGTATGTATAATCATTTTTAACTGTCTTAAATTCATTTTAAATCAATCTTTAAATCATTTTCAAAGGTTTTAAATTCCTTGTTTTATTTTTGTGATTCTTTTTTTTAATGATTATTTTACTTTCTTTTATGTAAAGCACTTTGAATTACCATCGTGTACGAAATGTGCTATATAAATAAAGTGCCTTGCCTTGATATCGGGTGGCTTACGGGTGGCTTATTGCAATCGGTTCTTGCTGGGTTAAATGGGTTGTGGCATGTTACCAAGGTCGCAAAAAGCATCTGATTGTGGCCTTCATTTTAGTTAATAGTTAGGGACCTCTCAGAATAGCAAGCAGTTAAAATGCTACACAGCTGGTACACAATCAGAGTCCCTGAAGCAAGAGCTTTCAAAGCATGTTTTATTCTCTTGCTCTCATAGTTAGGCACAAACTGATTTCACATTTTCCAAACAATTTTTTCAAACCTGAAATAAGGTCATGCTGCTCATATGAAGAGATCTCAACATGTGTTTGTGTTCTTACAGGGAAAGCAGGGTCCGTCTGGTCCCATTGGCCTCCGTGGTCTTTCAGGAGATCCGGTAAGCAGGGAACGTTTTTAGGTCACACTTTATATTAGGTGGCCTTAACTACTATGTACTTACATCAAAACATAAGTACAATGTACTTATTGTGTTCATATTGTATTGCAGAACACATTTGCTGGTATTGAGGTGGGATACGGGTAAGGTTAGGGACAGGTTTGATGGTATGGGGAGGTTTAAGGGTGGGTTAAGGTGTAAGGGATGAGTCAACAGTGTAATTATAAATGTAATTACAGAAATTAATTACAGATGTAATTACATATAGGTATTTTTTTTATATAAGTACAATGTAAAAATGTGTATGTACACAATAAGTGCTTTTTAGGTCACACTTTATATTAGGTGGCCTTAACTACTATGTACTTACATCAAAACATAAGTACAATGTACTTATTGTGTTCATATTGTATTGCAGAACACATTTGCTGGTATTGAGGTGGGATACGGGTAAGGTTAGGGACAGGTTTGATGGTATGGGTAGGTTTAAGGGTGGGTTAAGGTGTAAGGGATGGGTCAACAGTGTAATTATAAATGTAATTACAGAAATTAATTACAGATGTAATTACATATAGGTATTTTTTTATATAAGTACAATGTAAAAATAAGTGCATTGTACCAAATGATTAATTTAAATGTAAGTACATAGTAGTTAAGGCCACCTAATATAAAGTGGGACCCATTTTTAGTTTCTCAACTCCTCCCAAACTGCTTGGGTAAAATTTGTAACTGATCAAAAGTACACTTTTGGCAGGCAAACAATAAAATGCATGATAAAATACTGTAAATGAGGCAACTTGAGACCAGAAAATTATACACTCTTAAAGAAAGTGTTCACCCAACAATGAAAATGTACTCACCCTCAGGCCATCCAAGATATAGAGTTTATATATAGTTTGTTCCTTCATCAGAACAGATGTAGATGTAGAGTTTATTTCTTTCATGTTTCTTCACTGAAACAGATTCTGAGAAATGTAGCACTACATCACTTGCTCACCAGTGGATCCTATGCTGTAAATGGGTGCCGTCAGAATGAGAGTTCAAACAGCTTCTTGCCAAATTGTGAGTCTGTAATCCATAATAATGCTTCCTCCAGTGAAAAGTCCATTCTCTGTTGTCTCATCAAGATACAGTGCTTGATCTGAGCACATTTCTCTACTGATGTTTTTTTTTCACTGGAGAGCGCAATAGTATGGCTAGAGGACTCACATTTTTGCTGGAAGCAATGGTTTTAGTGGGTTTGTTCTGTACAAACACACAGATTTTTACTTCACAAGATATTAATTGATCTACTAATAGTCATTTGGATTATTGTGAAGTTTTTTATCAGTTATTTAAACACTCATTCTGGTGGCACCCATTCACTGCAGAGGATCCATTGGTGAGCATGTGATATATAATGCTAAATTTCTCCAGATCGGTTCTGATGAAGATACAAGAAAGAAACAAATTCATCTACATCTTGCAAGGCCTGAGGTTGAGTAGATTTTCTGCAAATTTTCAAACTATTCCTTTATGAATAAAGGTTCCAAAAAGGAGTTTTTGCAGTAATGCCATATAATAACAGTTTTGGGTTCCTCAGTATGAAGAACATTTTGATATTCTGAAGAACACCATGAAGAGCCAATTGTGCAATTGTAAGATTCTTTAGAGCACCATAGACTTTTGCATGGGAAACACCACACGAAAATGTAAAAATCTAGATTTATTCTAATCACGCACTCCACATTCTTTTAGTTTTTCCCACTCTCTCACTCACAAACAGAAAAAGACAGTGCACGTATAAATAACAGAGGCGAGAAAAACGAGGATGCAGAGCTGTAAATTGTTGCACAGACAATCCGTAATCAATCGGTAATCTGAAAATTAATTTGCAGGGACGGGTACATCTGAGTTCTCTACGTGTAGGGAGGAATCAGCATCACAATCTGTTCTCGGCACCTGCTTCTGCTAATGAGCATCTGCCTTTATTCCAAAAAGGATGGGAACACAGGGATTGGGGGGGATGTTAGGTATCAAATTAAAACGAATAAAGCAGGAACAGATAAAGCTGACGGGCATGTGTCTTGTCTTTCCTGATTTTTCCAGGGCTCTCCCGGTCAACCAGGACTGCCTGGAAATGATGGAATGAAAGGAGAAAAGGTACGCAAGAACGCACTGGGGCTGCATGTTTCTAATGTGATGTTTTCCTTGTTTCTGCATATGTTGAAGCACTAGGTCATGTTCAGGACAATTTGTTCGCGTTAGACTTCACTGAGCTGTTTTGCTTGTACATCTCGACAGTTTTCACCAGCTGTTAGCAGATATAAAGCTGTATGCTGAAATGGTTTCAGATTTAAGATCTAAGAATTACTGCTTTGTGTTTGTTATTTATTGGGGTCCTTTAGAAGGCAAAATGTGACGTCTGTAGAGATACTGGAAAGTATAATGAAAGTGGAAATCTAGTCTAAAGCACAACAAACTACCTTTGTTCAGAAGACTTGGCCTACAGCAAAATTGATTATCAGATGATATTAAGAACTAAAGAATGACTGTACACTTTGCAAATGTATTTCCAGAATTTTCTTTGAGTAACAACTTAATATTTAGGACTTAATATTTAGAATAATTAAATTAATTAATTAAAATAGCCTTTTTTAATAGAAGAGTCCAATAAAATTTATTTTATAATTATTTATATACTATTGCAGTACTTTTTAAATATTTTAAATGGACTTTTATTTTTTAGGTTTTTTTGTATTTTTGTGCTTTTGTAATTTTTATTTTTTATTTTTTTGTATTTATTTCAGTATTAGTTTAAGTAACTTTTTCATCTAAACATTTTTTCGTCTAATGTTTACATTGTGTTAATTGCTGAAAACATTTTAAATTATATTATTTATTTTAGTCTTATTTTATTTTGTTACTATGTACTATATACAGTATATTCCAATGTTACTTACGTTGGTCTTATCTTTTAGTAGGCTAAGATATTGCATCATGGTAGGATGGGGCCTGAAGTACATTTTATTTTCCTTCAACAATAATTCAAATTTGCAAATATTTTGTTCAGATTACTAAATGAAAGTTATTGTGAAAAAAGTCAACTGGCGAAAGTGCACTCAAAATAGTCACAGATCACTCAATAACAGCGTCTTTAATAGAGGGAGCATGTTCAGCATAGCAGATGTTTAGACTGCTTTTTTTAGTCTCTCGTCTCACTTCTGAAGCTGCGTGAGGCGTTTTCTAGGTTGGTGGCATTTGCCCCAGATGTCTGTGATATTTACGTCCAGCTCTTGTTTTGTATGTGCGTGTGAAGGGCAGGCATGTGTGTGCATTTGTGTGGTGCTCCTCAACCTGTCAAATGACAAACCTGAGGTGACAGCGACTCGATGTGTGTTTGCAGGGTGATGCAGGTGGAGGGCCGGGACCGATAGGCCCCCCGGGCCTCAAGGGTGAACCTGGTGAGCCCTGCTCTGTCGGACCTTGCAATGGGGTAGGTACACAACACCATTCCTGTCTTTCTCTTACACTTCATGTTCCCCACTCAATATCTTCTCTTTCAGCACCCCTTTAAGACACAAACAGAATATCACTCAACACTTATCCAACATCCCACCACTTGATGACAGCTCCGATTTAAGAGGCACACTGACAATGATGTTATGCACCTGTAAATCTGCGACACGTTGCCGCACACACGCTCTTCTTCCGCCAGCAGCCGGGTTATTGATGACAGCTCGTTGTTTTCAGCTTTGACAATGAAATACTGTTCATGCTAATTCACCTTTGCTGTGCCGTCCTTACGGTATACCTGTCGGCTGTCCAAGCCATGAGAAAGAAAAATCAGCTATGAGATCTGCGAAATAGCTCAGTTGTTTCTCTTCGAAACCAGTGAGAAGCAAATCGAGACTTTAGCTTTGGTCCTCCTACTTCTTTGTTTTCTCAAATCTAAGTAAAATCTACTTATCTCAAGGTTTCATCTACAGTTTCGAAAGAAATCTCAACAATGTCTCACACTTTGGCCAAGATACTAGTATGCCATCTGTCAGAAATCTCACAATTCTCATCCTGTTCTTTCAGAAGCATCGTCTGGTCCTATACCACCTATATCTATCTACATATTTTTTAACAGCCGTCTCATTTTTTTCTTAAGTTAGAAAAAAATATCTTGGTAGAAAAAAACTTTGGATATAGTCTGGGATGTTGTAGATGTGGTCACTTCTCTAGTTTGGGATGAAGTGTATCAACACTATTTAAAGTTGGCATGAAACGGAAGTAGTCTTTTGGTCCCCATTGTGACGTATATCAATGTGAAATGGCTTCTTGAATGAGAAACAACTGTAGTAGCAGCTGGTTTTATTGATGACAGCTCATTGATTTCAGCTTTGTCAATGAAATACTGCTCATGCTAATATACTGCTTTGGTAAAACTACCTTTAAAAACACCCTTGCTATTTCATCCTAATGGTACACCTGTGAGCTGTCCTGGGATGTTATAGATAGGGTCACATTTGTAGTTTCTATACACTAAAATTGGCCTGAAACAAAAGTTTTCAATGTCATTTCCTATTATAATGTATATCTGAGTGAAGCATCTTCTTGAACAAGATCAAATGTAGGGCATTTCCCCACTGGAAATTGATTGGATCGGTGCCGTTTGTTATTGCGTTTTATTTCGTGCTAGTTAGGTGCCAGCTGAACTCTGACTTAAGAAATGATGTTTGTTTGCGAGGGAAGGAGATAAACTGCATATTAACTGTAAAGGTGGCGAGTCATCCAGCATGAAGCATATAGACAGATGGGTGGTGGGCAGACAGACCAGCTGAATGATGGTTTGCTGGACTGAAATCAATATAGCATGAAGCCATCAATCACCTTTGTCTGTTCTGATTTAGTGGAAGAGAGAAAGACAGGGAAATTTACACGAGTGAAGTGAACGAATGAAATCAAATCGGACACCATTTATATACACTCCTGGTCTCATTCTGCTTTATTCTTATTCTTGTTATAATTATTATTAATTTAGTTGTTTCTGTTGTTATCACTTTTAATACCCACTTTTGATTCAGTCCAACTTCTCACAAGGGCCTTGCCGTTTTCATTTAATCGGTTCACTATACTTCAGTATCCTGTATTTTGACTTCATAGGATGCAAAAAGTCTGTTTACCTACTTGCTGTGACAGCTTCTGCAATGCGAAAACTACTTGCTAATCTAATTCTTGCTGACCACAAAAATCAATTTTCCATCAGTGGCGTATAGCAAATAATGCTTACTGTAACTCTTTCACACTGTCGGCTCCTACAGTATCACTTGCAAATCACACAGAGAAAAACAATTAAAAATTTGCTGTGAATTGCACCAAACTCTAGAGCGTGCAATATTTAGCGACGTTGGGGACGCTGCTTGAAATTGTATCTTGTCAAGTTACAAGCTACTAATTTAAAGCGGTGAAGAAAAAGTAGATTTATTTATTTATATAAAATGTTACACTGTTCCTTTAACACTGTTTTAGTATAGCATCACCTCTTTAGTATTCTCAAACACTGATTTTCAGACTGTTCCTATAAAAGTTTCTGGCTGAAATTGAGTCTTATGTAAGTTTTAAGAACACAGTCTTCATTTGAGTTTGTATTTCATCTCTAGGAGGAGGTCGCGTCTGGTCTTCGGGGGTTGCGGGGCCCTAAGGTAGGTCACTGTGAGAGATTCTTTTTAAAGTATTCAGTTTTGCGCTTGTAAAATTTATCTGTAAAGGAACATCCCCTGAGTTCATATCAGCCATATTTCCCTGCGCTGTGCTTTGTCTTTTAGTCCACTTTTTTTATGGTGTGATAAGAAATGTCACCATTGTGAATAATTAAAGTTAAACGCCATATCTAATTGCATCTGTGACATTAATGTCGATTACCACAGAAAACCATTTTGACTCATTCCCAAAGTTTAAAACAAATATAAATTTGTGGAATACAGTTTTCAAACTGAGTTCCAAGTCGAAATTGTCTGTGGTAGTAGAGCTTAACTTGTATTAAACCCTGAAAATGTATTTAAGCCAGTTGCATGCTGTCATAAATGATTTGCTTATGCAGAACGCTTCGTTAAAGCTCTTATTTTACTACTGTGTAAGCATCTGTTTGTAAGGGTTTGATTTTAAATACATTACTACATACTGACTGAATATGTTCATGATGTTGCTATGGCAACAAATTCATTTTAAAACACAATAATTATCCAGCCAAGCTTTATTACATAAACCGGCACTACTTGACTGTGTTTTGTGAGTTTTGGAGTTAATTTAGTTTGGATGAATGAACTTTTTTGCTCTCCACCAGGGTGAGCGAGGTGTACCTGGAGTCCCTGGAGATGCTGGAGAGAAAGGAGAACCTGGTATTGGAATCACTGGACCCCCTGTAAATACCTGTTTTAGAGTAACTTCACAAACATTGTCTTCATTTAAAGAGATTGTTCACACAAAACAGAAAATAGTCATTTACTCACTCTCATGTTGTTCCAAACTTTCTTTTGTGGAACACAAAAGCTTAAATTTCAGTCTGTTCCACATTCAAAAGTATCATACAGCATTGAACGTGTACAAGTCAAATGAATAACTGTTATGGTACTTTTTGTCGGAATTGAAGCTTGACAATGGCTTTAATCTGTTCTACTGAGTCATACAGGTTTGCAATGACAATTACTTTTCACACAGAAATACAGTCTGCGTTATCGTTTCTTCATCCCACATACTTCCCACAGACAACCATAAAGTTCACACTATATAAAAGTTTTCCAAGTAGCTTTAGATATTAGCATTTAGTGTTTTTGCATATCACACTGAAAACAATATATATAAGACACCTGCATTTATTAATTGAACATTTTTGTTCATTTATTTATTTATTTTCTATAGGGTCTGATGGGATCTAAAGGAGAACCAGGAATTCAGGTAAAGGATCATTTAACATCCAAAAAACAGCAATTACATGTAGACCAAGCATGTCAGTTATATACCATTGTGCATAATATACTTACATATTGATAGTGCATATTTTTTATGATCTTATACAAGTTAAGACAGAGATTGAAACTCTTTGTTTTAAAAATGTTGAAGTGAAGTGAATTTACATGATGGTGTTCTTTTCACAGGGTCCTCGTGGACCTCCAGGACCACTTGGATCGCCAGGAATTATGGTGAGAAGTGTTTTAATTTCTTTGAGTCCAAATTTGTCAAAAGATGAAAATATCAAGATATTTATTTATTCATATTATTATTTTATGTAAAGAATTCTTAAAATCTTGAATGTGTCTTAATCTGAAAGGGACCTGCAGGCCCACAAGGCAGACCAGGACCCCCTGGACCCCCTGGAGAACCGGTTCGTAACATTAGTTGTTTTTTGTTGTTGTTTTTTTTTTTTTTGCCTTTTTCTCGACATTCCTAGAAATGTTAATATTCGGTTACTCACAATATGTACAGTTGTTTTGTTTATTGTTGCTCTGCTAATTAAAATAGTTGGAATATTATATTGACATAGCACTCCATGGGGGAATAAAATAAATACTTGTGTTTGTATTGCGTGTCATTTTCTTATGCTGCTTTAAATGTTTCTTTTTCAGACAGCACTACCTATTGTTGGAGACATGGGGACATTACTAAAGGTACTGTTTCATCCAGCTATCTGTTCTCACTGCAGCAGATGCTAAATATTAATAGTATGAATTATGATGAACAGAACTAAAAAATAAATAAAAGATGCAGGTGCCATTTACAGTTAGGTCTGTACCCAAAAAGTTTCCTTTGAGATGCATATCAGCAAAACTTTTGCAGACTTTAAAACCTGACATCTCAAACCGAAGGTGTTTTAAAAATCTATTTAAAACTCTGTTCCCTTCAGTCAGATTGTGTGTGGATATTAAGACAGATCTTACCCCTTGTAACCTAGAGGAAGCATTTTTTTCCCTTCTATTAAACCGTAAGATTTCAGAAACATATCCTATTACACACAATATTTTAGTAACAAAACACAAATGACAGAATATAGCCTTAGGTAATATAAAGCCCAATTTTATCTAAAATTGCTCTGAAGAACTGTTATAAATTATTTAATTGTCTGCTCTATTGCTCTCTTTCAAACTCTTTACATTCATATATATTCAGCACTTAGAAAAAGAAACATTCTTTTAACTTTCACTCTTCGCTCTCTCTTTAATTCCTCCTTATAAGTGCTTTCTGTTCTGTCTTCCTCCTCCACTGCTCTTTATGTTCCTGTTTGGGCATCATGCATTCATCTCTATGCGACTGAAGAAACTTCTGACAAGATAAATGCCCATTTGCTCAAAAAATGACACCGTGAGATTCTTAGGACTGAGCTGTCAACCACAACAACACACAGAGCTACTTACAGTAGCTTATGTACTGTAATTTATCTCCGGTTTGGATTTGATGTGTCTTCATACACAAAGGAAAGGGAATGCATCAAAACATATTTAAATGTCAAAAGAACAGGCAAGTTTATGACTGATTTCTGCAGAGTTTGAATTGGAGCTTGAGTCAATAAATTATGTATATTTTACTTTTCTATTTTTTTGTATAAAAAGCTTTGCTAATTTTGCACTGTGAATTACCATTCACTGTTTATGGTATAGAGCAGCTCTGACGTTCTATTTTAATTGTTGGGTGAAATATTCCTTTAAATAAATTAATAGTATTTATTTATTAAAGCTCACAGTTTTATGTCGAAATCTAAAAATGTCAAAGCACTTAGGTCATGTGTTCTGACTCTTCTTGAATTTGTGTACGAATTTCCTCTTTTCTCCATTAATGTTAAACCTCTACTGCTATATCGGTCACATGCAATTTGCTAATTGTCAGTCTTACACAAAGAACGCAAATATAAATGTGGTTCCTGAATCACCCTGCACTTATTGAGCAGGTGGGACTAATGCACTAGTAAATTGCTACCTTCAGAGACACGCTGGTGCTGGGTACGAAAAGTGCATCCAATGTGAAATGTTAATGCAATCCTTGCGACCCATTACGGTAAACCATTGATTACGCTTCATGGGTCGGGTATACAGTTTCACTCTTAAAGAGCAGAAGAGAAAAAGGTTGCTTACTTAGCCCCCGAGTTTCAAAACCGCTTTTGAAAGCACCTCCGCTTCTGCTTTTGCTGTTTCTCTCTGTATCAGTGGGCAAATGTATTGAGGTGAATGCATCAGGCTGGCAAGGTTAAAATCTGGGAAAAAATTGTACTTCCCTAATGCATGCCTTTTATCAAGTTTTCTGCCTGTGAGTTGTTTGTATGCCTGGGTTTGACCTTTAGCGTTTTTAGCAGTGGGCAAAGCTTGATTGCCACGCCATATGTGCCTCTGCAAGCTGGTAAAAGCATATATCCAGATGGGCAAACATACATCTTACACAGATGCAATAAAGGTCAGTATACAGAAGCAGATAAACCTGTGTAGAGTTCATGAACACAAATAAGGACGTTGGAGTCTGTTTACTGTTTTTCCACAGTAAGAGTGAGGTAAACGGTGCCACGTTTTACTTCCGTTGTCTTTTAGAAGAAATGAGATGGAGGTCAAATGAATCCTTTTCATAATATTTCAGAACATCTACTATAAATTTATAAGGAAGCATTTATGACACAATCATACAAATATCACTTCTCAAAATAGCAAAACCATGTCAGGGTATAAGTTGAATCATGTGAGAATTTTTAAACCATTTTAAATTCAAATATAAAGATACATGAGAAAAATAATTTACAAATGCACAATGCTATTTCAGAAATTTAATTTGTTGCATATTATTCACATTTTTACTAAAGGACTATATATTTTATATTCATATTTCCTGCATTCTGAGGCAAATCTATAATTTTACTGTTTATACAGTATTTTAAACCTATAATTTTACTTTAGCATCTGACACCGTTTAGTCCAAAAAAATATTTTAATTTAATTATTTTTAGATCAATAATTTACTATGTTTTATACATTGCAAATCACTAAGATGCATTTTAAAACTCGATAAGTTTGCATTTAAAATAAAACTAATTTTACCTGCCAGATTTTAGTTTGATATGCTTTGATTGTTTCGGCATATGAGAAAATCCTTAAATTTTTCTCATCTGCATCGTTTAATATCAGGCAGCTATATATGATGGGTCCTTTCTGAATATGTGAACCAAAAAAAGGTTAATTTTGTGATCTGTTGCATCCTGGGCTTATCTGAACAGAAGGAGAAAGAGATTAGAACAGATTAAATACAACACAGCAATAATATACACAATGGCCTGAAGAAAATGGGTGTTCATTCAAAGAAGGTTTTCCTATGAATTAATTAGAAGAACAGTCCATTTCTCCTGTGCATTTGTACCCCTTGTTTCTGGAGAAAGCAGAATGAGAGCCGGCTCGCATTCCACAAGGTTGTAAATGTATCGGGTTACCATGAAACCAGGGTCTTGTTCGGCGTCCTGGGGTGTTACAAAGTATTTGTGAAATCTAGCTAACAAAATATATATTGTGTGTCGGAGTGGTCCAGACGCTACAGAAGAGAGAAAGTGGGATTTCTGCATCTTACATTGTGTGATTTTGGCAGAATGCCTGCAGTGCGTGTCAGACCAGAGTACCAGGATTGCCAGGGCAGAAAGGAGAAAAGGGTTCCCTTGGAGCTCCAGGTATCCCAGGAATGGATGGAGAAAAGGTAAAATTGGCTGCAAACACATTTAATCTCCTCACTAATTAAAATTCTGTTCCTCCACCTGAGATTTTCTAGCACTGATTGCTGTCATCCTTTCTGGCTGATGCAATGAATGATTTGTTTATAATACACCAGACATTTCTGCAGTCCAGTTATTTGAAATGCATGTGTATATAACAAAGTTTTTGAGATTTGCTATACAAGAGCTTTAAAAAGTATTTAAAGAGTTTGCATGTCATTGTATTAGATAACCACAAAATCTGCAAATTAATCTGCACTTGCAAACAATGATGCTTGACATTTTCTCAAAGCTAATTTTACTTTTCTGGGCCACAATTTACGAGAACTTCAAATGTTTTACTTGCAATACTGTATGACCTTGTCTTCTCATTCTTTAAAATTAATTCCAGTTTGTTGATCTTTTAAACACATGATGACATTCATACATTAACTGTGGCCTAAGTGTTCAGATACTTTCCTGAGCCACTGTATATTCTTATGTCTGTCCTGTGGACCTGGCTCCTTACGTTCTGTGTTGGCTTTGACAGGGGGATCAGGGACTTCGGGGCCCAGCTGGTAATCCCGGAAAAGAGGGTCCGAAGGTAAGCTGCCCTAAATCAGAGATTAGAGAAGAGAATCGTGTGATTGGCAGACACATGAGCCCCAGATATATCCACAGTCTTCCCTTTAGCTGCAATTCTGGAAGTACATTTCCTCTGTTACAAGGCATAGCAGGGCAAATGTATTACAAATGGTGCAACAATTATAGCAACAAAATGGTTTGCATAATCTACATTAGAGTGCATGAATGCGAGACGTTAAGTGACAGACAAGAATTGAGGCTAGAGATGAGCATTAATAATGTGTAAGAGCATCATAAGAGATCAAGAGAGTGTACTTTCTGTCTCAATGATTGTCCGTGTGTCTCGTTGTCATATAGGGAGTGAAGGGTGAGAGGGGCTTTCCTGGTCCAATGGGGGACAAGGGTGATGAGGTGAGTTATCAAAATTATACAACAAAGCTAAACTAATTCTGTTACAGTTAGTGGACTTGTCTGATGTGTCATAGTTGACTACTATACTGCTGCTCCAGACACTTTATTTTCCAGACTGTGCATCTGAAATGAAGTGATTTTAGTTGTTTGAGTAGATTGCTGTTTCAATAGGTATTTAAATAAACATCTTTTGTTTTGTACCCATTCACATTTGAAACAATGCTGACATTGTATAGAATAGTGTATTGTCCAATGGACCAATGGATTTTTATTTAAAGGGGTCATATGATGCTTTTTTAAAGATCATTATTTTGTGTATTTGGTGTAACAGAATATGTTGACATGCTTTAATGTTCAAAAAACACATTATTTTTCAAATACTGTACATTATTGTAGGTCCTCTATGCCCCGCCTCTCTCAAATGCTTCGTTTTCTACAAAGTCCCTCCTTCCGACAAGCGCTGTCTGCTCTGTTTGACCAGCTGATCCAGTGCATTGTGATTGGCCAAACACCGCAAGCACGCGTCGGAAATGTAACGCCCCTTACCTTTAATCGCGAGCTTCATCTTTCAAAATAAATGTAAAGACAGAGCCCGAAAGGGGAACAGAGTCGCGTGACAGACACAGTGATGAAGCTGGTATGTGTTTGTGATGTGACCCCCCCCCCCCTCTCTCTTGCTCTCTCGATCTCTCTCTCTCTCTTGCTCTCTCTCTCTTGCTCTCTCGCTCTCTCTCTCTCTCTCTCTCTCTCTCTCACGCGCGCTCGCTCTCTCTTTCTAGCTCTCTTGCGGAGCGTGGCAGAGTCTTAACTTTGATAAAGAATATCTTTTTGGTTTTGAGGCTTTAGTCTTTGCAACTTCAGGGGTCTTATCTATGCACAATCAGCTTTGTAACACTCCGAAGAGAAAGGAAAACTTGAAATCGCATCATATGACCCCTTTTATTTAAACTTTCATTTTATTGTTGTTGAAATCTAGCCTCAAGCTCACAGTTGATTGGTCCAGGGATAGAGAAAGAATTATCAATTATAGCTACAATTATTTTCATCTGTTCCCAGGGGTCCTCAGGTGTGCCAGGATTGCCTGGATCCACAGGCCGTATGGGTCCACAGGTTAGAAACTTCCAGCAAAAAATAAATATCATCATGATTTTATGGTTTTTATATGACGGCTAGTTTAGTTCCTTGGTAATCTTTTTTTTTCTTCTTGTTTTTTTTTCCCCGCAGCGATGTATCTGATTAAAATGATCCTTATGCATATTCCTCTACATTTAGGGACTGATTGGCAGACCAGGACCTGTTGGGGCCACAGGACCAAAGGGAGAACGGGTAAACATAATCAAGTGATAATTTCTGCTTTAAGATTTTAAAATAATATTAAGGCCCTTAAAAAAAGATAATGCTATTTCAAACCCAGGCAGAGTGTAAGTAAGGGATAATCAACGGTTTGCCGTGCATTAAAGGATTTTAAATGCACAACTTGGAGGCAAAGAACCACCTGACACGAAGCGGAGGAACTGAAGGACGGATCACGGCCACACAGACACAAGCCGTTGATTATCCCGCTTATTCCATGGTCATTTGCCAAGTTATAGACAAGTTAAAACCAGTATTGCTCTTTGCAGCGCAATATTTGACCGAATGGGTAAAAATGACAGTTATTTTCGTCAGTTACGACACGTTAGCTCCAGTGGTGGCTCGTGGGTTTTAAAATAGAGGAGGCACACTAATTGTATTGGTCTGGGATCCCTGCCGATTATTCTTTTTTGCTTAACTACTTTAAAATGGCTTTTTGGTTGCTTTTAGTCAGAAAACGTAAAGAAAACGACATACATACAGCAAAATAATATAATTTCACTTACCTGGACTATCACTTGAAGCAAACATCCATCCCTTCTTAAAAGTCTGTGTTAAAAGAGAGCTGCCTGTTGCGCCATTTAATTAAGCAGACTGCTGTAGCCTATATCCAGCTTAGGCTGGTTTCCCTAAATTTGTATATATACTGTTTGAATGACAGCTTGGTAAATCTGTTGGCGATCAAATATTCAATATCACTACTCATCATAAGTACTTGGTACATTATCAGTGCAGCAGGAGACGTTCAAACTAATATCACGTAAGTTACGTCTCTAATGATTGGTTGATATGAGAAGGGAGGCTAGCCTCCCTTGCAAGGTTTCTTTTCTCAACACTCCTCAACGCTGAAAGTGAACACTCGATGCTGATTGGCAAATTTTTTTTTACCAACGGAGGCACGATAGCTCCGCGCTCCCCTGGCCTCCCCCTCCCCTTCTCTATCACCTAGCGGTTGCATTTACATCAGCAGATTCGGCACATTCGCAATAGAAAAGCGGCACTTTCACGTTATGATATTACAACTGTGAAATTACAAACAAAAAATACACATTCTGAGACATGAAATGAAATGAATTGTGAATTTTATTAACATTAAATCGTCCTCCTCCCATTTTCACCTCATAATTAGGGGGAGGCTGTGTCCCCCCTGCCTCCCCCGACGAGCCGCCACTGGTTAGCTCTAGCATTCTGCCCGCTTCAAATCAGACACAGAGATGAAATAGTGCGTTAAGATCACATTTATTTGAATGAATTATAGCATTTATTTCAATTAATTATCGACCGATCGAGAGAAAGAGAAAGATGACAGTTGTGTGCGCTAGGGCTGCACGATTAATTGAATGCGACTGTCATGCGCATCTTGTCAGTTAAGGCGGTTCTGTGCAGTGGTGTAATGTAACGAAGTAATAATACTTCGTTACAGTACTTAAGTATTTTTTGGGAGTATCTGTACTTTACTTGAGTTTTTATATTTCAGCCAACTTTTTACTTTTACTCCACTACATTTCCTAATTAAAATGTATACTTTTACTCCGATACATTTCACCAAAGCATATTCGTTACTTACTACAAAATAGTCAGAAGTCAGAAGAACACAGACTGCAGGAAAGCAGGTTTGACGAATCAGTGGTCTGCCGTCTGCAAGTTAGACTCCTAAAAACACTTTTGCTCATGTGCAAACAAGTCCACGCACAACCGCGGATGATTCATGCTTCACTCAAGTCGAGTCTGGGGTGTGTGATATACAGTATATCTTCTGCGATAATATGGTAAGTGTTGCTGTAATGATGTGCGATCTGACATTATTGAGTATATCACCAAATCACACACAGAGTGCACGCATGTTGATTTATTAGTCTATTAAAACTCAAAATTCCAGGCATTCTAAATTGTAGACGGCAAAAATGCTTTGGTATGCTTTTTATATTTATATAATCAAATATATAGTTACCTTAATCTATATCACACAAAGAGTATCGTTTTTCTGCAGATATCAGCATGATAACACATTTAATAATCATTTTATACAAGTTCAGTAAAGCAATAAGTGACTTACATTTTAGACATAATATTGCTTGTTTTTGCTCAATTTTGCCAACGAAAATAGTTCCAAATAAAGATCAGAGCACTGTTTTGCATCTCTGAGCAATGGACGGTGTTTACTTATTAAATGAATCCACTTTTGAACGAATCAGTTGAATAAATTATTCAGTGATTCACTCATTAACACAGTCGAATGCTTTGTTCCTGAATGAATCAGTCGTTTGAATGAATCGGTTGAATCTCAATGACTCATTAACAGTCACTTGCTGTCACCTACTGGCGGTTTTAATTTCACATTTCGACTATTTTTTCATGTTAAAAAAAATGGAAGAAAGAGTTAAAGCTGAACACAATCTTGCTACTCAAGCTGTGTATGAACATTTTTTTATATATATTGATTTGCTTCTTTTCCAATTTGCATTTACTTGTACTTTTACTTTCAATACTTAAGTACGTTTAAGTACAATAAATATCACATACTTTAAGACTTTTACTCAAGTAATATTCTAAACGGTGACTTCAACTTCTACCAAAGTCATTTTCTGGTAAGATATCTGTACTTTTACTTGAGTATGGCTTTCAGGTACTTTATACACCACTGGTTCTGTGATTAGTAGCAAATCTCCAGCACGTGCTTTCAGATGGAGCAACGTTTACTACTCAGAGCTGTAGTTCACTGACAAGCTACGCAAAATCGCGTTCATAATCGCAGACAATTTAATCGTGCGATTATGAAATCGAAGAAATCGTTCTGCGATTATGAAAACTATTTGCGTAGCTTGTCAGTGAACTATGCTGCTCCATCTGAAGGCACGAAAATACCACATTTAATAACATGTTTTTACTCCAAACTCGCTTCATAGTGTTAGTTGAGTGTTTGAAATAAATCCTGTTGATAGAGATGATGTGGCTTCTTACACAGAATAAGGCACGCAACATATTTCATAGTATTCTAAGCAGTGATAAAGACTATGTCGATTAGCATTGCATTATAACAAAAATTATGAGTCGAACTCCGATAAACCATATATTGTCGTAGCTGTGTGTTTATTAGTCACATTGAATTAATGAAAGCAGTTAATCTTCTGGGTTTCTTCTGAAAGTCTTATTTGGAGTTTCAGCATGAGAGCGCCCTCTGGCCTTCGGATGGAGATTTACTGCTGATCACAGAACCGTGCTTCACTGAAAGATACACATGACAAGTGTCATGCAGCTTCGGCCTAATCACGATTTATTGCCTTTACGATTTAATTTAGATTAATCATGCAGCCCTAGTGTGCGCATTACCTGCATGCTGCATTTGCGTGTCTCTCTCTACAAACAATTAATTAGACTACTTCAAAAACAGTGATTTTACCATCTCGTTGCTGAGGAATATAATGTAGTGATCTAGTATCTAGGCTATTTTATTAATAAAAATTGGGGGGAAGCGTTGACAAATTTGTGCGATCTGCAATCTCCGACTCTTTCTCTCTCTCGCTCTCTCTCTCTCTCTCTCTCTCTGTGTGTGTGTGTGTGTGTGTGTGTGTGTGTGTGTGTGTGCACGAGTGATGTGTGTGGGTTTGTGTGCTTCAATTAAAGCAGCGCATTTATATCGAATGGTGATTAAACTGACTTGGAACTACCTGTGCATTAAAATGTTTTACTGCATACCTGCCAGCCAATCAGAATCCAGTATTCAGACAGACCATGGAATAATTGTTTGTGGAACATGTTTGCAAACTGTTAATGCTACATTTCCCTAGAATACAAGTTTATGGACATGGACAATGTCAAGTGAATAAGTGAACTACTAGATTTCGAAGGGCTGCTGTTGAGAAAAAAAAGAATAACAAATTAAAATGTGGGCCATTTCTTTCACAAAATGATCAGATGTTCTCAGAAGGCCTGAAATATTGTGTATCTTTTTGTAATCTTTAAAATGGCTTATTTTCTGTTCCACTTAAGAAAGTAATACAGGTTTAGCACAACATGATAGTAAATTGTTATGTGGATCATCCTAAATGTTATATTTAAAAACTCTACAGTTAAACTGAATTTTAGAGTGGGATAAAAAAATGTAAGGCACATCTTTTTCTCTCTTTGGCTTTTCCCAACAATATAGTTCTTTGACCCATCTGCATCTGTATGAGTCACACACACTGCCTGATAAATGGCTGAAGTAATACTCTCACAAACAGTTAGCAGGAGATCGTGAATATGCCGCTCAATGTGTTCGACGAGCTGGTGGTGTGCACTAGAAAGGAAATAGAGGCATTTTTCATCGGTTTTCATCAGCTGATCGGCTCCACTGAGAGCCAACCCAATAGAGCCAAGGGGCATTGAGTCTATCCTCAAACCTTCTGAAACCTGTTATTATTCACAACATTTGCTAACACTGCAGTGTGGCATTGGCCCTGACTCTCAATGCAATCATATACTTTGTTTGGAGAGGCAGTTTGTGTTATGCATGTAAAGAAAATAAATGTCTTTTTGTTCCAGGGCAGCGATGGACCGCAAGGCAGAACCGGACCTCCTGGACCTCCTGTAAGTTCTGAATTAAAGTGTGCATTTTCTACACCACTAGGAATTGCAAACGTAATTGAAAATATAATGAATGCTTTCCTACAGGTTTCCATACCTCTTCCCCGCTGTCTTTCATTGGTCACTAAACAGATAGCTCTGCTCCAGTCTAGCATCACATGTTTGGAGTTTTGCAAAACACCAAGCAATTTTTTGCAACAGTATTTATTCATTTTGGGAAAATCAGTCTACAAGTGGTTTATTCATAGTTATCTCTGCGTATAAAGATGGAATGGGGAAAACTTATTTTACATGGAAAAAAATTGGACACTTTAGCTATAAATGATATTTAAAGCACAAGTGAGATGCGTATTTGATTAAAAAAATAATTTATATTTATAGGCCTATATACTATAACCTGTAGACTTTTTCTGAATACTTGTATTTGCGGTTTCTTTCCGATCTGAAAGTTTGACATTTTAATAGCAATTTGTATGTATTCCCAACTAATTTAACGCAATTAACCCTATAAAGCTTGCATGATACATCAATTTCTAAGAACTCTTAATTATCAACATGATCAAAACTGAAAAACCTGTTGCACACAATCTTCTTCATGCCTTGTGTCGTCTGATTGATAGTTCATAAATGTAAATAACAGTATGATTCAACAGGCTTTATTTATTTATTTATTTTAAAGACTTAAAAAGTATTTTTATTTATATATACTTTTTTAAAAAGAAAATGTGATTTCTCTTGACATTTGTATTCCAAACGTTAGGCTTTAGAATAGTTCAATTAGGGACCAGTACAGGTTCAAACCTTAATATTAGAGAATTTAGTTTGTTTCCCTTATGATTTTATAGCCTGGTGAATGATAAATAAGGAGAAAAATCTCATTGACTTGTATTTGAAGGCGAAACCTGTGACATATCTGGAAACTATAATATCATATTGATTTGGGCAGGTTATTTTGACTTTAGCCAATCAGCAACCACCTAGCAACATGCTAAAATCTTGTAAACTTGTTTTTTTTTTTAGGGTGTCCCATATGCAGAGGGCAATGGAATGAGCAGTCTCTATAAGATTCAGGTATAACTTTCACCTGATACTAAAACACACAATATTTTAGATTGTATTGGTCATATTGTTTATACCTTCTAAACTGTCCTCATTATTATTTACAGAATGGAGCAGCTAATACAGGTCAACCCGGACCACCAGGGCCCCCGGTATGTGTCATTTTTTTTTATTATATCCCACATAAAATAAATAGTTCTTTGAACATAACCCACCACAGGGAATTAGTTGTTGCACTTTTAATGAAGTTTAAATGTCAATACACAAAGAAGCTACATTGATTTTGGAATCTGTATTCGGTTTAGCTGCTGTCCGCCCCTGATTTCAAGAGTTTTACACAGCATGAATTCAAGGACGGATCACGGCCACACAGACACAAATCTGAAACTCAGACAATGATAGCAGCCCAAAGAGAGAAGGCCAGCGCTTTAACAGGAAAAAAAAGAGAAATACATATAAAAGAGCTTTTCTCCTCTAGCGGAATCATCCGATTAGCTTATCAACGCAGCGACACGCACACTTATCTAGTCTGTATGTAATGTGTCCTTCCTTTCCATGAAGAACAAGAGTGTATTCCCTCCTGGGCCATCTTTACCAGACCGCCCAAAACTCTGGAAATGCTAAACCCTTATCTGCAGGTCTGAAAGAGGACACTCTCCAATCTCCCTCCTCACTGCGATAGACTCAAAGAGCTGCTTACAAGTCCCTCAGGGTGCTTTGTTTCGGTTTATCCTCAAGTGAACTTGTTCTAAGTGGGACGTGACACTTCCTGTTGACGTGCCGCAGCTGGAGGAGACCACACTTAGACAAAGCACACTTAAACTTCGATTGAACTTCATTTGAACAATCAAGACGCTTGTGATTGGGAGAACGTTTGATGTGACTGGATTGTGTTAGCATGCAGAGTCATGATATATTAACTCACTGGTGTGCTAAAGGGTAAAATTAGCTTTCGAATGTAATATTCAGTCTTGTTTTATTGGGGGAAATAGGGTAAATTAGAGGCACTCTTGGATATCATCTCAAAAAGTGGCTCAATTTGCCTCAATTCACTTTGGTGTTTATATTTTATGTCTAATGCAACTCGGTGTAGGCTGTTTTCCAGAACCTAGCATGCTTCATCATTGTCTATGGTCTACAAACTCAGCATCCTAAGCATCATGAAACCTCATAAGTAAATGATTTAAAGGGGTCGTGAACGGCCTACTGTTCTCTGAGGTCCACTTATAATGTTATCAAGATTTTTACATTAAAAATATATAAAACAGAAATATATATAGCAATATACATTTATAAAATAGCCCACTCAGTACATATCAAACGATCTGTAATACAAGACAAAGCAATAGCGATCACATAATAAAAAAGTTACTCACACTTGTATGGTGTGACATTGGATCCAATATAGTCAGCACAGCATTTTCTTTTAGTTTAAATCTTTTAGAAGATCCTGTGATGTATTGTGCCTTATTTGTTCATGAATATGTGATAAAATGAAGTGAAAAAAGGACCAAGTTCTTACTGATGTGGTCTGAAACTTCAGTAAATATGAAGTTTATTGTTTGGTTTGGCTCTTGTCATTTACATACTGTGTGCACGAATCAGTGGGCAGGGCAAAACAGGCAGCGATGTAGAAGCAGGCGTTGATCTTCTTTTACGGAGGTGGTGTTTAGCCACAATATTACATCAGAAAGTGGCACATTCCACAGCCTGTCGTTTTGGCTGATAGGCTTCAATATAAGCTGTTTTTAGACTAATTAGAAAGTTTTGAGTTCTGAAACTTACAGAATGTTTTTATTTATATATCAAAGATCAAGGGAATTTTGATTTCTCAGTTCATGACCCCTTTAAAACTCTATATGGGCATAAACAGTCACTCGTGCACAACACACATGATGCCTTAGATAGATAGATAGACAGATAGATAGATAGATAGATAGATAGATAGATAGATAGATAGATAGATAGATAGATAGATAGATAGATAGATAGATAGATAGATAGATAGATAGATAGATAGATAGATA